CCCTTATAGAGCCCTTTAAGGAACCATCGCAGGAACTACTCAGTTGCAGGGCCTGATCCGTACACGAAGTGGAAGGACAAGGCACCGTCCTCAAAAAAACACAGGGCTTCGACGACTTTCAGGGTTTTGGGTTTCGGGTTTAGGGTTTAGGGTTTAGGGTTTAGGGGTTTAGGGGTTTAGGGTTTAGGGTTTAGGGTTTAGGGTTTAACGGCTCAGGCGCTAGAAGCTATCCTCCCAATGTCTTGCAACAAGGATCACACTATTGGGGCCCCTTGAATAAGACAGGTATAGAGGCATATGATGTCATGACGGCGACGACAGCGACCGCTACTGGCTGCCACTCTTTCTGAGTCGCATTATCGAAGTGCCTGCTATAATTCGTACCACTTTCGGGAACAAAAACTGCGGTGCTCACGCTTCCTACTCTTGTGCCAGGTCTGTGCTTCTTCTTGAACCTGTGGAGCCTGCCTCATGCCTCGAAACTGAACTTCAGTGTGCCTTTGGAGCTTTTGGTTCTCTGCACTCCTCGCCCAAATCCTAAACCCTCCCTAAACCCTATAAGCCCTAGACCCTGTACAAACCCATAACAAATCTATAAGCCCAATAAGCCCCAATGCGATCTCCTGATTAGTAAACCCGCCCCGGCAAACAACTTGAGATCCGGAACAGTTTGGGGTGTTTGTTGGGAACTTGATGGCTTTACTTGTTTGGGGGCTGGGGTCTAAATTGTTTGGGGGCCGGGGCTCTCAGTAGTGGTGCAGTAGTAGAGCGGCTAGTATTACAGTAGTAGTAGAGTAGTACAGCCGTAGTAGAGTAGTAGTACAGTAATAGTACAGTTGTAGTACAGTAGTGGTACAGTAGTAGTAGTAGTAGTAGTAGTAGTAGTAGTAGTAGTAGTAATAGTAGTAGTAGTAGTAGTAGTAGTAGTAGTACAGGAGTAGTACAGTAGTACAGTAGTAGCACAGTAGTACAGTAGTAGTACAGTAGTAGTCAAGTTGCCTTTCTTGACCACGAACACCTCTTGTCTTACTTGATGAAGAAGGAGGCTATCAAAAAGAGCAAGGTCCCTCTCGCAACAGGACAGGGAGCCCCTGATTATCTAATTAAACTCTTAAGCCTTAAGCCTTACGTGCTATGGGAGGGGGCCTTATTATGTCCACTATTGTGCGCAGGGCCGACTTTAGCTCTATTGAGGGGGCTTTCCACTCTTGTGTGCAAGGCCGAGTTTAGCTCTATTGAGGGGGCCTTTACTAAGGACGAGGTCACATTAAGCTGACCTCGGCACTAAGCCTAAACCCTAAACCCTAAACCCTAAACCCTAAACCGCTCCTGGAATGTTGAAGACTTCTTGGAAGAGAAGCCCTGGTGGTAGCCGAGCAATCGATGTGACTGAAGCCCGGTGCTGGTAGGAACCCACCTCGGTCTCAGGGTGTAGGGCTTTAGGGCTTTTCAGGGTTCAAGGTTTAGGGTTTTAGGGTTTAGGGTTTTAGGGGTTGGGGCTTAGGGTTTTAGGGTCTGGGGTTTAGGGAATGTGCTTCAGTGGTTGGGGTTTCTCTTGCTTCCTCGAAGGGAATTGCTCCGACCAATTACGCCGACGCCTGCCCTGCTGCTACCACTGCTTCCGCGACCGCGACGACGAAAACTACTGCACTAAGACACTGTAACAATATAGCTGAAGGATCGTCAGTAACTCAGCAAGTAACTAGTCGTGACAACAAGTATCACACTGCAGTCAACATTGCCCTCCTTACCACTCTACTTTGCTGCAGCAGCAGCAGCAGCAGCAGCAGCAGCAGCAGCAGCGTGCAATCGCAGAAGCAGACGGTGCAATGTCGCTGCCAAGGCAACAAATCAGAATCATGCATGGTTCGCTGCTTCTTCAACATCCGAGTCTTGGGCAGGTATAGCACTGGAGGCAACAACACAACCATCACAATCGTCATCCCAGTGCCCTGATGAGCACCCGCATCACCCGCACCAACCCCAGGAACCATTAACCGAAAGCCCCGCACACCGAGCTCTTCCAGTCGACACTCCGGAGACTCAACTTCATAGCATGTGTGCCTGTCCCTAAACCCCTAAGCCCCAAACGCTAGACCCTAAACCCCTAACCGAAGCCATCAACCCCTAAACCCTATCTTCACACCCAAAAGGACCGAAGAGGCACAAGTTCGAAGAGCCCGTGTCGAAGAGGACCTTCGAAGCTGATCAAGAAAGGAACAGACCCCCCGATTCAGGGCTTAAGGTTTAGGGCTTTCGGGTTTAGGGAGTTCGGGGTTTAGGGGTTTAGCGGTTTAGGGGTTTAGGGGTTTAGGGTTGAGGGTTTAGGGTTGAAGGGTTTAAGGGTTTAGCGTTGTTTCTTTTTTTGTAATGTGCAGTGGCCCCTTTCTCCGCGCTTTAGGGCCCCAACTACCCTCCTGCTAGTTTAAGACTTCCTGGGACCCTTCTCCGTTTGAAAGGGTACCGGGCTGTTTGGGCAAGTCTTTGCACAACCCTAAACCCTAAACGCTGATAGCTTAACCCAAAACTCTACACCCTGAGCCCTAAACCCTAAACCCTACACCCTAAACCCTGAATATGACCCAATCTCAATCTAGATCCTGCACCCGACTGGGCTGGCCAAGGACCGAAAGGGTCAGAAGTGGGGGACGGAATATGACCTGAAGTTTAGGGTTTAGGGCTTTTAGGCTTGGGGGGCCAAGCCTACGGCTCCGCGCTCCGGACAGTCAAAGCCAACCCCCTTCGCAACTGTCTGCAAGCAGCAGTACAGACTTCATGCCCCCTAAACCCTAAACCCTAAACCCTAAACCCTAAACCCTAAACCCCTGTCCTGGTACGAAAAAGCCGGAATGAACAGCTACTGAAAGCATGGAACAAAGTGCAAAGGCGCACACAGAGCTGCTCTCTTCAACCTGGACCATCAACGTAAGCCAAAAAACCTTTAGCCCTGAGCCGTATGAACCAAACCCGAAACATAGAGACAACTCCTCCAAGTCGGTTTGGAGCTTAGGGTTTAGAGTCTAGGGTGTAGGGCAAGTTAGACAAACAGAAAACGGTATAGATCGCTCAAACTCCCAGGGAACGGCTCGCTGCTCCCCAAATTTACTAAACACTACCCTAAACCCTAAACCCTAAACCCTAAAACACCACACCCCCAGCCATGCCCTGGTACTTCCTTAAGCAAAGAGTCGGGGAGAACTTAAAGCCGTGTATCCTTAAAGCCCCGCACGCCTGAACCCCCGACACCAGCCAAAACCCCTTAAAGCATCTTCAAACCCGTAACCCCTGAAGCCCCTAAACCTCGCCCTTGAAGCCCTAAATGAATTTAGCCCAAAAAAAGCTGATAGAATACACCTATTTTGCGTTGACGGGCACATCCCTGCGCAGGTGCGGTGGCCTTGATCTGCTGCCCCGGCGTGCCAACTTCAATCACGCCTGCAGCTGGTGCGGGGGCTTCTTTAGAGGACACATCACGTCAGCACGGTTTAGTTACTTCAGTTTAGCTTGTATAGGGAAGGCTTCCGTTGAAACAAGAAGAAGCAGCTTCTTCTCTAGTGTTGTGGGGTCTCTGTTGACACGAAATTGCTCTACTTTCGCTACTAACATTAGCCATGCTGTTTCCTTCTGGTACTACCAGTGACCAGTGTCAGTGCCACTGTTGCTACTGCTGCGGCTGCAGCTGCTACTGCTGCTACTACTACTTTGAAGAAGTAGCTCAATAGCCCCGCTTAGGGTTGCTTTGGCGATCGGTCGTGGGTGTCGGATCTTTCCGAGATTCTTGATTCTATGTTTCGTTCAAGGCAGTCATATGTAGGCATAGAAGCACCTGTATTGGAGTCATAGGTAAGCGGCCAATCCAAGCTGATAACCCCCAAGATCGCCAGGTGTCTGCAATCCCGCAGCCCAAATCGCCAAAGCCCTAAACCCCAAACACCAAACCCGCTTTTATGAACTGTCAAAATATTAAAAACCCCAAAAAAGGTTCTTTGGTTCTGTCGTTGCCGTGCTTGCCCTATGGCAGTGTGCAAACCAACGGTAGCCGCTGCCCTGCCTGGAGCCCCGGCTGAGTGGGAGATAGTTAGACACCTCTTTTAGGGGTTTAGGGGTTTAGGGTTTAGGGTTTAGGGTTTAAATTTACCCAAAGGCTCCATGTACCCAAATAGTATATACATTGGCCCCGAAGTACCTATATAGGGACTACATGTGACTACATTAAGGCCAAAGTATATACTATATGGGTACATGGAGCCTTAGGGTTAGAGTGTGAGATAGTTAGACACCTCTTTCAAGTCAAATCAAGCCAGGCTGCAGACAGATAAGTCCTAAACCTGCACACCCCTTCTCCCTAAACCCCTACACTCCCAAACCCTATACACCCCTAAACTCGACACACCAAGCCCCCAACCGTAGATAGATGGATGTAGCCTCGGAGGCTCTTGTTAAGCCAAGCCCTCTGATGGGCCTGCGTACTGCGCGTTCAACTGATTCCGCAATGTGAGCTGAGCGGTGCCACCTCTCAGGCTTTAGGGCTTCTAGGGTTTCTACCTAGACCCTGGAATGTAGTGCCTCTTTTCTGTTACCTTCTCTTGTCTCAGTATTCTAGGATCCTAGCCATAAAAACCGGCCATCCAAAAGAAGGTGCTCCATTCTATAATTTGAGGGAGAGTGGGCAGTCTACGGTTCAGGAAGCCTGAGATCTCGAAGGTTCAGGCGGCCTCGGAATTCTATTCGATTCAGGGGTTCTAGGAATAAGAGTTTATAGGGTTTAGGGGTTTAGGGCCACATCGCATGACATCCACAGTCCCGGGCCCCGGGCATGGAGTATGGAGGCTACATCCAATCGCTAAAACCTCTCAATCATCCGAGCCCCTCAGAATACCCACACCCCTAGCCTACAAAATCGGCAGAACATTTAACACAAATCTGCATTCTCTTGCCAGCCTTAAGCAAGTTCCGTGAACCTCTAAGCTCTAAGCACAAAGCTGTTGAAAACAATGCAGAGTAAAGCAGGACGACACGTTCATCAAGCAGAGCTTCTAAAAATGGCGTGATAACATTCTCAAGTGCAAGGACATCTGCTGAGAGGAACAGCCGCTGGACCTGCCAGCCGTTGTCATTGCATGATAATTACAGTAATGCAGTACATGCAATAGCAACTGTTACGTCATCATCGTATCCTAAACCCTAGACCCCAAACCCTAAACCCTATACCCTACACCCCAAACCCCAAACCCTAAACCCTAAACTTTACCCTAAACCCCAAAACCTAAACCCTACCCTACACACCAAACCCTATACCCTAAACCCTAAACCCTACCCTACACCCCAAACCCTATATCCTAAACCCTAAACCCGAAGCATCGTAGAAGAAGAAGTCTCCCCCCACCCCAGCCGCCTGAAGACCCAAGCGCTGCCTCGCGCTCCTCCCAGGTCGCCGCACTCCTTTTTGCTTTAAGGTGTTAGGGTTTAGGGTTTAGGGTTTAGGGTGTTAGGGTGGGGTTTAGGGTTCAGGGTTTAGGGTTCAGGGTTTGGGGGTGAGGGTTTAGGCTTTAGGCTTCAGGCTTTAGGCTTTAGGGTTTTAGGGTGCTTGGGTAGGGTTTTGGGGTTTAGGGTTTTCGGGTTTTGAGGTTTCCTGCTTTAGGGTTTTAGGGTTAGGTTTGCAAGCATGGGATTCATAAACCTGGGGCCACATCGTGGGTCCAAGGCTTGGGACTAGAACGGACTGTGGCTTGGACGATTTTTCGGCATGGTTTGGGTTGCCTTGAGGTTTAGGAATGCAGTAGCTGGGGTTAGGGTTTTGGGTTTGGGGTTTAGAAATGCAGGGGTTGCGAGTCCATGTGTTTCGGGGTTCCGTTTCTGAGGGCTTTGAATAACCGCTACTGCATGCATGAACCCCTTCGAAACCACAAATCGAATCACAACGGTACTTCGCAGGTTTCAAAAACACCGACGACTAACCCCAAACTCGACTACAACATCGTCGGTGACCACATAAAAAAGGAAAAGGTTTCATCATGGTATGATGAAACTGGGGACGGACCATGATAAGAAGATATGATTACTTGAATTTCCTAAACCCTAATCCTGAAACCCTCAACCCCAAAACCCTGTAACGCCAAATCCCGAAACCCTAAACCCCACAAAACTAAGCCCTAAACACTAAATCTCAAAACCCTAAACCCCACGACCCTCTAACCCTGTTTGTCACGCCATACTTGCGATGAGTGGCAGCTCCGCAGACCGAGCTTGCTGGTGGAGATCACGCCTCTCCTTTCAGTTAGGGCTTCAGTCCGAACATAAAGGACCCTAATATAGTACCCTCAATAGTAGGATCCTGATTATAAGGACCCCAAAATAAGGTAATATAGGGTTCAGGGTTTAGGAACTCAGGGTTGAGGCTTCAGGGATTCCGGCTTTTGCCTGTCGACACCAAAGCTAAGTCTGCCTACCTTCGGAAGAGAAAGGATGGCGGCATAAGGAGTCCTAGACTTGCAGGCTTTCTGTTTCTGGGCTATTTAGGGTTAGGGTTTAGGGTTTAGGGTACAGTTAGGGATGGACATCGCACCGTCCATCGCACCAGGAGCTCAAGCGCTAGAACGCACCAAGTGGTCCGGCTCTGAAACAGAGCCGCATGGCCGCCCTGGAGAGGATTTGTTTGGGACAAGTAACCCCAATCACGCGTTTATATTCTTAGCATCTTCGATGATGATCTTATCTTACATCTTTAAACAAGAACAATACTATGCGGTCTTTGAGCAAACTAGTTTATGTACCACTCCCTCGCCTAAACAACCCAACCCACAGTCTTTGCGCCCTACTCTTAAGCCTCACATCCTACGAGGCCCTACTACACCCCGCATGCGAAGTTCTCTAAATTAGCCTTTGGGGGCCCTTCTTATAAGGGTACCGTACCACATTGGGGACCAAAGAAGGGACCCTAATTCAGAGAACTACCCACATACTCAACCGTCCAAGGTGATGTTTTCCCATGCGTTTCAACTGCAGGTCCTTCTTCAACGGCACACGGATCATGTCCTCGTCGACATTTTCCTTGTTCGGTGGGAGCTTCCGCTTAAGGGTGTTCGGGGGGAAGTCTTCGGGACCGGGTTGCTGGGTAGACTTTGTGGCTTTTCAGGATGCTCCGGCCCCTGTAGTGTAATGTGCTGCAGGCATCGGAAGACGAGCCAACATGCATGATAGGGATTTGGGGCTTTCATGCCATCAAAGGTCTGCAAATTCATGACAAGGGCCTATAGGAGATAGGAGACAGCAGCAGTGTTGTCTTCCGACCACTGGAGCCTGCTAAGAGCTGCCTTCACCCCTGCGCCCTGACCCCCTAAGCCCTTTTACCCTTAAGCCCTCTAAACGTCCCCCCGCTTATATTGAGCCAAGCAGCTGCCTTCACCACAGCCAAGAGAAACAAGAGACAGGCCGCTTTGAACGCCATTGGAAGAGCGGCTCAGAGTTTGGGGAAGGCTGGGGCTCTTGCAAAGTCTCTCAGTCTGTACTGTACAGGCTGCGGCCAAAGAAAGGAAAAGCGACAAGGGGTGACGCCGACTGCACGGGCGAGGGTTTAGGGTTTGGGTTCCAGGGTTCAAGGTTTAGGGGTTTAGGTTCCAGGGTTTAGGGTTTAGGGTTGATGGAAAACTTGGGATCATTCCACGATCGCCGAGTCTGCTATACTCTGTCGGGTCCGACCAAACTAAACTTCTAAGGAGGTGCCTACGTGTTGGGCTTCATGTGGAGGATGGCTAGATCTCATCAAGTGCTGTCGCCAGGGTGGAATGCTTGGGGCAGGGAGTCGACTTGGGCTACGGAGTCGACTTCGGGTGAACATTGCAAGACAACGCAGACCAGTTTTGACCCTGCGCCCGAAAACGGGTTTAGGGTTTAGAGGTTAGGGTTTAGGGGTTAGGGTTTAGGGGTTTAGGGTTTAGGGGTTCATTCTCAGGCTGACTTTGGCAACAACCTAGCAGCTAGCAATCCAAAACAGATACGGCAGTAGCAGCAGCAAGAAGATCATCGACCGAGACAACGACAACAGCAACGGCAGCATCAAGTGCAACAACAGCAGCTTTAGCAGGAGCAGCGACCTCCAGAACCAGCACGTAAGCCTAGCAGCAGTAACTACAAATATTCGCATGGAGCAACAACGCAAAACAAGTTCAAAGTAAAAGAAATAGCCCCAGACTTGGCTGGGGTTCTGGCAATCCACAACCTGTGGCAGCATTGGGCTTGTCTCGGACAGTGTTTTACGGCTTTCAGGGGTCTGCCTACAGCTTGAGGCGCGAGGTTTAGTGTAGGAGGACTACCAGTGCAGGAAACAACAGCTTCCAGAAGTAGCACATTCTAGTAGTAGTAATAGTAGTAGTAGTAGTAGTAGTAGTAGTAGTAGTAGGATGACAGACCAACGACGACCCTTATGCTGAAGGAAGTGCCCTGAGATCCAGGAAGTGCCGCGCGGGGGTGTTAACCAGGGATTGTCGACTGGGTTGGCATTTGCAGGATTGACGATGAGATTAATGTAGGGGCATAAAGAAGTACCAATACGATTTTGGGGTTCCTTATTGTGATTATAGTATAATATACTCCCAAACCCTATTCTAATTATTAAGGCCCCTACATTCCGCCTTAGACCAACCCAAGATCCTGATCGAATCCCCCCAATAACCGTAAGTCTCTACAGAGTTCTATACTCGTAGAATTTACTCCAAGTCCCTATGCCGACTATGAAGGCCCCTTCCTAAACCCCTATAGTCTAAGTAGCCACTAAAGGTCTGAAAGGAACCCTTAACGGGACCCCTATTCTACTTACCCAGGCCCCTGTGCTAGGCCACCTCGACTTCCGTACCGGGCGCCGGCACTGCTGTGGCGAAGGCATCGAGATCTGCACCTGCGCCTGCCAGATGAAAGAAAGCTGGACGATTCTGTTTGGGTTTAGGGCCGGGCTTGGGATTTAGGCTTTGGGGGCCATACATGGTTTAGTCGGTTCGGGTTTAGGTGTTTAGGGTTTAGAGATCACTTTCGGGTGTAGAGACTGATTAAGGCTTGATTTTCTGGTTATTCTTGCTGCTCAGCCCGTCTTACAGCTGATATGTCGCCGAACCAGAATCCAAGGAGGATAAAAGCCATCACAATGGTCACTTTCGGGATGCCAGCAGTGACGGCGGCGACGGCAGGAGTTGTAGCCACACGGGAACACTAAACTGCTCAGTAGGCTTGCTTGGAGTGCTTTGGGTTTAGGGTTCAAGGTAAAGGGTCTGGGATGCCTGCAAAGAGCCATACCACCCGCCAAACGCTCATAAAACCTTAACCCCTAAACCCTAAGCCCATAAATATGA